TTTTATCATTATAGCTTATGCATACCAGGCTATTTACTTTTCTTTTTCGTCCAACCAACAAAGCATCTGTTGTATTTACTTCCTAGTAATGTGATCCAACTTTGTATGTTCTTTAGCATACCTTTGATTTCTCAATCTGCCTTGACACTCTAAAGAAATTATATATGGTAACTGATCTTGGAAACCTACAATTGTTTGATGGCCACTCAAATCAAGGACCTAAGTCCTCTAGCACCTGAAAATCACTAAGTGACACAACGCTTTGCACTTGGATTCCAAAACGACTCTAACATTAACTAAAATGTATTTACTACTTTAGTTTGATCTTTTATCACACTAAATTAATCATGCGCATTCTAAATCATCAAATTAAATGATACATGAATGCATGTTGTGAGGGTAACAAAAATTGAAGTTTTTGTTGGAATATTTATAAATATTATGAATTTACATTAATTAATTAAGCCCAAACAATTGGTCTATAATTTTCTATGCACCATGGTAGGTGGACTACACAAATGAGCCCAATAGGTAGAGACCTAACCTACAATCTTGTAACCATCAGTTATTTCTTATCTCTTAACTAACTGAGTCAAGGATAATGAGAGATTAAATAATTAATTAATAATTCTTAAAGCGATTACTGATCTAACCTATATGAGTCAATCAGTCGATAACCAAGATGATACAAATTTTCATTATCTCCATTATCTCTACACTCATTGAAAAATTGCAGGGGTCTAGTAGATTATGTATCTGTCTATATTCGAGATAATCAAAGTATCATATTCAATCATGGAATGTTCAGGTACATGCATCGCTTTACTGAATCTTACTTGACTTGTATGAATTGAGATGTGAAATTTAACAGTTTTAATATGCATGATATAAATTAAAAAATTGTAGCAATACATTTAATGTAGATGTATCATGCATGAGTTAAAAATTTCACTAATTCCAAAGAGAAATAGTTTCAGGTAAAAAAAAAGGAGAAATAGAGCTCAATTTGTGCTGAAACAAATGGTTAATAATCTAAAAGTACAAGTCTTATACTAGGATTGCGATTATAAACACACGTTTTTTTTCCTTCTAATCATACTACTTAATATATGAAAATTACATTGAACTCCGACTAATTTGAGTTGAATATGAAAGAACCATGCACAAGAGAGACAAAGCTCTACTGATGACTAAACTAGCTAAGACAAACTCAATAATTGCTTTGTGTTTATTTTGAACCAGGGCTAAGTTAAACCTGATAACCTGATCCTTGAACATTCTTATTAGTTGTATTTGACGTACAATAGTTAAACAATAGTAACATATTTGGACAAAATGGATTGCTAAATGTAGCCACATTATTGTGACATTAAGTTAATAAGTTAGTTTTAAATCTGTCAATGTCTAGAATCATGAATGACTTGTTCATGTGTGGCTGCAATGATATTATGAATTGAGGGTGAGAATAAAAAGACATTTAATATGCAATTTGTGGGCACATGGATGGCTGGGAAGTATTCAACCTTTGTAATAATTGGGAATCAAGAGAGGTGGTTGGGAAGATACAATCAAAGTAGTGTAATGAGAGGGCTATGTGATTTATAAGAGATGTGTGATTCTCATTATAAGTCACTTGTTAGAATATTGACCAAGTTTTTTGTCATATTATCTCCTTTTAAAATCATTAACTATAATTAAAAATGTAGTGTAAATATGAAAACAACTATTTTATTTAAATTTAAATATGGATAAAATTAAAATTTTATTTTATTTTCAAACAAAATTAATCACTTAGAGCTTGTTTGGTTCTATTCTCCATTTTTATGTTCCTAAAATAATTATGTAGAGTAATTTTTTAAAACAAACTTTGGAAACAAAAAAAATTGTTTAAATCATTATTTTTAAAACATATTAAGAGTGGTGAAATGAAGGGAAAAAATTATTTATTTTATAAATATAATTGTCGTTAATGAAAAATTGATAGTTTCTGCATTGTCTCTAATTTAACAGAACAAGAATAACAAAATACATAAAAGAAGTTATGACTTTTTAGTTTTTCAAAACAACTTTTATTTTTTTATTTTCGAAAAACACATGGAAAACATATTTTCAAAAATAAAATTTTTTTGAAAATAGAAAATCAAACAGGCTTTTAAGCAATTTTTGTTATTCCGATGAAATAGTTATATATGTGTGTGTATATATATATATTATAATGTGGACAAAAATAGTATATGCTATGCTTTTTGGCATGACATGCGGGGTTGTTCTAAAACTAGATGTGTTTACGGGATAGGACGGATTGAAATACCCTTGTCTTGTGTCTCCTCCCAAATAAAAGATTGAGACTGAATTTTTATCCCGCGTTCTATCTTGTTTGAAAGTCATCCCGTCCCGTTAAAAATTAAGATAGGATTGGGACATCCCGCCATCTCGATAAATTAGACAATGTCGAAGAAAGATCTAGATAATAACATTCATTAAAATTTTAAATCATATAATTTATTAAATTTAAAATTAAAATAACACAAGTATATAACAGGCAATAACAAGCAAGTCAAGCATAACATCAAATCATTATTCTTCTATTTTAGTTGAAATGTGTTAAACTAATTACTCTTTTAAAAATAAAATAAGAAATATAATATAAATAAAAGTTATTAAATAGATAGATATAAGAATAAATTGTATCAATATAATTAATATATTATAAAAAAGTATTACCCTGTTTCCTCTATATCATTAAAATTATCATATAAAAAACTTTAATTTTTTATAAAAATTGCAAGTATTAAAATTTTAATTAATATAATTAATATAAGTAAAAATTATATTAATATAATTAATACATTTAATGTATATTTTTAAAATAAAAATAATATATATAATATTCGAGACGGGATGAGACATCCCGATGGTAATCCTGTGTCCTTTTCTGATATAATTGGGATGATATCAAGTCAATCAGAATAGGTACAAATTAAACACCCTTATCTAAAACAATAATATGGCAACTTGGAAAATCTCTTATTGCATCATACCACAAATATGCGTGGTTTGGATTCTGAGCATCGTTATTATTCTTTTATCTATTGTCTTTTTCATGGTCCAGTGTTTCAATGTTGCCTTCTTCATGGGGATATGTGAATACTGGCTTCTTTTTTTTTTTTTTTTGAGTAAAAGATAATTTAATTAATAATAAAAGGATTGCAAACGAAGTATCTGATGTAGAAGGTGAATACTAGTTGGAGCAAGAGTGTCTGGTTTAGTTTATTTAATTTATATTTGTTAATAATGTAATCAAATAGATCAGTTTTAAATGTGAAAAGACGGATTCAAGTATAACAGAAAACTATATTGATAATTCAAAATAAAAAAAGTCAGTTATAATTAAATTATATTTAATCATATTAGCACTTTCACTGTTTGTAGCTCCCTAACTATGTTTTTTCAAATATTATAAAAGGGTAATTGTTTTTCTCTACTACAAAACACAATAATATTATCACAAGAAAAAGATAAATACATAGGGCAGGTCTGCCTCATGTTTTCTGACCAAATTACGCGAGATCTAGCCACTCACCCTGTGTGTGCCTGTACTCTGTATTTACTTTTACAATATCACATCTTTTTCTCTCACAGTGTTATACTATTGAAGTTGAAAATTAGATTCATTAAAAAAGAGGGTAATATTTTTCACCAGAAAAAGACGTGAGTATTATTCAAAAAAAGGTTGAATTACCCTTGTGAAATACAAAAGCTCTAATAAACATATAATTTATAGATAGCATATAATACAACTCATCCTTTTTTATATGTTTTTTTTTGGTAGCTCCTTTTTATATGTTTTATTCATTTTTCTTGAAAAAATTTTTTTTATTCATTTTCTTAACACTTGGTCAAAGACTTGATGATTGTCTATATAAAAAAATAATTTATATTGTATCAATAAATTTAACATTTTTCGTTATATGTATTTTTTTAATTTCATGAAAAGGGTTCCCACTTCCCACCTACTTACTACTTATTATCCACATACTTAATATGTTTGGAAATTAACATTTACGGACTTCTAAGAATATCAATCATAGTTAAGTACACTAAAATCATGAAATTTAAGGAAAAAAAACTATGATCCTGAATTGGAATTAAAATTTTTCATTCATATTTTTAGTATTCATCTTTTACAATATCAATAGTGACCTTTAAGATTTTCAGAAATGAACATGTTTCCTTTTAACTAAAAATAAACATGTTCAAATACATTTACGTAAGAGTTGAGACTTTTTTTTTTTTGCCAAAACATGAGAGTTGAGACTTGAGACTAACTCAAATAGCAAGGAGGAGTTAAAATGTGGGTATAAGTCAAGGGATTAAACTTTATAATGTATTAAAAATTATTATTAAATTTTAAGAGAATTATAAAGTTACGTAATTTAATATAACCATGTCAATACAATACATTTAGTTATGTAATTTTGTTCATACAATAAGAAACATATTAATATGAAGTTACGCTTTTTATGGGGGAAAAGACAGCATCATGTTACCCAAACCGAGTCAAATGTGTAGAAAATAACGACGAAATTTTCTCACTCAGACTCAAGTGAAAATAAAGAATTTTGGCCGAGTCAGCTATTATATTCGCCGTTTGTGAGTCCACATTCAGTTGCTCACTGTTAATTTTCTTGGATTGGAGAGAATTGTGGTGGCTTTTCCCTCCGGCGCAAGGAATCTGAGAGGAAAATGTTTTTGATACCAACTTTTAGCAGAAACAGAATGTGCGATCTTTTCTAGGGACGGTAGGCTTCATAGTCAGCAAAGCCACTTTGTCTCTCTTTCTCTCAAATGTATGGAGGCTAGCTTGACACCAAGTTTCCAAGGCATGTGCTTTATTGTTATCCTTTCTGGCTGTAAAACAGAATACATAATTTAAAGAATCTCTGTGCAAGTGCTTGGCAATGAAAATTGTTCCGAAGCTGACCTGGGTTGGTCCTGAAATATTTTAATGCCTTTCTTATAATTATACAGAATTTCTTAATCCTTAATCCATCCCTAGGAATTGGCTTTTTTTAATCGAAGGTTTTGGGTTTAGATTATTGGGTTTACAGTTCATACTTTGTCATCAATACGCGTATCGTATCTGAGTTGGTGTCTTCCGTTCTTCTCCTCTGTGTGTTTGCTTATTTCGCAGTCAGATCTACATCTTGTTTTGCGGGGCAAGCAGGCAGACATTCTCGCGGGTAATTCTGCTGCATTTATTCTTTTGTTTGGAATTTTTATTCTCTGTTTGGCTGCTTTTAAAACCATGACACAAGCTTCAAGTTTCTCCTTTCTCGAAATTAATATAGGTAGTGTTGAGCTTGGAACTTCAAATGTCATTTTCCTTAAAGTTTGTTAGATGCCAAAGTCTGGCGAAACAAATTGTAGTTATACTTGTAGTTTAGTGTCCATTATCAGTTTGGTTTTTCTTTAGCCTAATTTTTGCTGGAGATCAGTTCGTAATGGTTAGATCCCAGCTCGGCTACTTCGTTTGTGATGAGTGCAGATCAAGTTGGCTGAAGTTGATTTGAAGCCAGTTTCATTTTTGTCTTTCTGCTGGTCAATGTTTACTGTGCAGAACGAGCTTGCTGATTTCCTTGAGTAGTGTTTTATGGTGTCCTCACTTGGGGTTCAAATATGCTTGTGACAAAGAGAGCTCACTAAAGTTGAGATATTGTTCTGAGGGAAAGGTATTTTTGGCCTAAATATGGCGTCTGGTGGAGGGAGGCATCGCCATCATAATCTTGTGCCTCTTGCTGCATTAATAAGTAGGGAGATTAAGAATGAGAGGATGGAGAAGCCCACTCTGAGGTATGGACATGCTGCTCAGTCTAAGAAAGGGGAGGATTACTTTCTAATAAAGGCCGATTGTCAGCAAATACCTGGAAATTCTTCCTCAGCATTTTCTGTATTTGCGGTATTCTCTCCATTTGCATCTTCTATTGTTTTTAACATGCCCTGCACGCCAGAGCAACTGCCAGTTAGAGAATTACTGGTTTTCGGTTCTGGTTTGTATGAGTGAAAAATTCGTATATCTTTTGACTCGAGAGTGTAGGGACAAATGTTCAGATCATAGATTTGATTTGTGTGCCTAAGTGAATATTCATTAGGGAAAAGGACTTCATCTTTGGAGATGGTCACTGATGTATTCTGAAATTGCAGATCTTTGATGGTCACAACGGAAATGCTGCAGCAATTTTTAGCAGGGAAAATCTGTTAAATCACATTTTGGGTGCTCTTCCTCGAGGAATCGGAAGAGAGGAGTGGCTTCAGGCATTACCTCGGGCATTGGTTGCTGGGTTTGTGAAGACTGACAAGGAGTTTCAGAGCAGAGGTGGGGAATTATGGCCCTTATTTCCTTTGCCCCCCTTGGTGATGGTCTGATGGAGGGAAATGAAATATAGAGCAAGAAGACCAGGAATTAGATTATTCTTATCTAATTTTGTGTCCTATCTGGTTTCCTCCAGGAGAAACTTCTGGTACTACGGCCACATTTGTGATAGTTGATAGATGGACTGTGACAGTTGCATCAGTTGGAGATTCCCGCTGTATACTAGACACACAGGGTGGCCCTGTTACTAACTTAACTGTTGATCACAGGCTTGAAGAGAATATTGAAGAGTATGATTTTATCTCCAGGGCTTACTTGGTTATCTTTTTTCTGTGTGCACATGATAATCATTTGCACTGTCTGTACTTGCAGGAGAGAACGTGTTACTGCAAGTGGAGGCGAAGTTGGAAGACTTAGTATTTATGGTGGTGCTGAGGTTGGAATATTATAACTTGATATCACCATTTTCATCTAAAAATTGAAAAGGAAAGAGAGAACTCAATTTTTTTTTCCATGTTAAGGACTTTGTATTTCGCATATCCATTTATTATCTTTTTCGCTCTTTTCATCATCCGCGTTAAGGGCTTTATATTTTGCATATCGATTTATTTTCTTTTTGAATGTATTGTGTTTCTGAATCATTTCAGATTGGTCCCCTTCGTTGTTGGCCAGGGGGTCTGTGCCTTTCTAGGTCAATTGGAGACGTGGATGTGGGGGAGTTTATAGTTCCAATACCATATGTCAAACAAGTGAAGGTATCATTATTTGGAAATAACATCTACTTTTAAGCTTAAGTTCTTAAGGCTATGCATGCTGCTACTGTCTTCAGGATGAAGCCTGATATCGTTCTTGTATTATAGCTGTCAAATGCTGGTGGGAGGCTCATAATTGCTTCAGATGGCATCTGGGATGCTCTGTCCTCAGAAATGGCTGCAAAATCTTGTCGGGGTTTGCCTGCTGAACTTGCTGCTAGGCAGGTTGTGAAGGTAACATGCATAATGCTACCTGCTAATTTCTATCAAGTCAATATATATATATATATATATATATTGGTAAGACTTAAGATTCATGTTGAACATATTTGAGCTCATCTGATATATGCTTAAGTCTCTACTTACTCCTTTTGTTTTTCAGGAAGCATTAAGGACAAGAGGTCTAAAGGACGATACAACTTGCATAGTAGTTGACATAATTCCTCCTGATAATGCATTGCCACCGCCTCCTCCCCCCAAAAAGCAGAATAAATTGAGAGCTTTACTGTTCAGGAAGAAATCCAGTGATTCCACTAGTAAGCTGTCAAAGAAGCTTTCAGCTGTTAATATAGTAGAGGAACTGTTTGAAGAAGGATCAGCCATGCTTGCTGAAAGGTAATCTCACATTCATTGAGGCTAAGGTTTTGAATTTTGGAGGTATCATACAAATCTCTTGACAATGACTTCATGGTTTCCTTCTCTGAACATCTGTTCGCCCCATCAGATTTTATGCTGTTAAAAATGATGGCTAATTTGTTTGAAGTTTGATATGAGGAAAAAGAAGAGAGACGAGAAAAGGGAAGAGGGTGATCTTTTTAAAAGAACAAAGAAAAGAAAGAGAATCGAAGTCACCCCAATTTTTTGGCAGTTTTGAATGAGTTGTATTTATGTGTGATTTAACATGCAGATTATAAACTTCTACAATAGAAAACTTCACAAGGATCCTCCTCAACTCAAGCATGTTAATCTTATAGGGCCTCACATTCTTATCACTGAGACTTGCATTATGGTGTAGGCAGAAGCATGATACCGTTGATGATTATTGAGTGTATCATATGGAACCCTGTTGCCTGTTAAGGTTCTTGGATTGTTCTTCCAATGATTCCTACTTTGGATTCTATGCTTGTTATAGCTCTGCAACTTGCAAGTAAATCTCATAATGTTCTGAAAATTGCAATTTGATCAGAATATTAATTTTTTTCACCCAAAATCTAGCCAGACTATTTTCTTCTAATTTTTCTAGTTTTCCATTTGAGCCCTTCTTAGATATTTGTTATCATGTTTTTCAACAAAAACATTGACATGTGAATAAGTAAGATGACATGTTAGGTATTCATCACATGATTGACTTTTCTGAAAATTATTCCTCTATGAATTACATTTTCATTATACAACCTACTAGCAAACGCTTAAGTGCCTTCAATTAGGTTTTGTGTATTGTTCTGACACTTTCATATATTTTCTTTTTCTTTTTTTTTTTTCATATTGAAGATTAGGGAATGATGGGAATTCAGGGGAATCAACCTCTGGGATTTTTGTGTGCGCAGTGTGCCAGATAGATCTTGCTTCAAGTGAAGGCATATCTGTTCATGCTGGCTCCATTTTCTCTACCACCTCTAAGCCTTGGCAAGGCCCTTTTCTTTGTGCTGATTGTCGCAACAAGAAGGACGCCATGGAAGGCAAGCGTCCTAGTGGAATTAGAGTCTCGTAGTTTTTCTTCCCCTATTCACTCTCATTTGCCCCCTGTTTCTTCTTATAGTCATGATTTTTATAGGTCAAATAATTGCTTAGATCCCACCATAAAGCAGTGACAGATGTATATGCAATATTCTCAAGTTCTAACAAAATGGGCATCACTTTTAATTTGTAAATCCTGGACTGAGCTTTGGGAAATTTAATGGTGCCATTTTATAAATTATAAACAAGGGAACTTAGTGCGTGTTTGGACAACTCAATTAATTTTAAAGGCCATAATCATAGTTTTGTGAAAATATATACAAACATTTCTATTACATACTAAAATTAATTATGAACTTGAAGTTTTTTTTTTAAAAAAGATATTCAAATATTTATTATGCAAGTCAAAATTAGTTATAAATTCAAAATCATGGTTTTTTAAAAATATTCAAACATTTTTGTACATGTCAAAATAAATTATGAATCCAAGAATATGATTTGTAAAAAAAGCTTACGTGCTTTTTTATATAAATTTTTTAAAAAATATAATTAAAAAGTGAATAATAATAGTTTATAAGATAATAGTGATTTTGGTTGATAATTGATTTTTGGCATGGACTAGTTTTTGAATATTTTTAGAAAAATTATAATTTTTTTATTTACAATTAATATTGGCATGTATAATGAGTGTTCAAATATTTTAATAAAAATATGGTTGAGTATATAATTGATTTTGACATGCAAATAGGGTATTTGAATATATTTTTATAACACTGTAATTTTATCTATTTTTTAATCCTGCTTTTTAATTTTACTTTTCAATTTTTCTTAATCAATTATGTTACATAACATAATCAATTATATTTAAAATAAATCTTATTAATAAAGTTTTTCACACTCAATTATTATGAAGGATTTCAAGAAGCTTGGGCTTTCCACGAGAACTAAGTTCGGACCACTGCAATTTATAACACTATCTGCTTGCTTCAAGTAGCATTGAAAATTAGTAGTCAATTGGGGTTTCAAGTAAAAACTATATTACAAGATAGTTGTTAAAGGGAAAAAAAAAAACCAAAAAGGGAATAGAAACCAAACAAGTCAAAAATCTTTGGGGGAGAAACTTACACTTCTGTATATGTACTATTTATGCTGCAAATGCATACGGCAAAAATGGCCAGTAATTGTATGGAAATGCTCATCTATTACAGATAGATAGACAAGAAAAAATGTCACACAAAGGTTTCTTATTGGTTAATTTAAAAAAAGTTAATACACTTCTGTGCATTCCTTTGTTTTTGTACCTAATCGTCCTTCAATGTATCAATTTTGCTTAAAAATCTTTTTCCTATTCAATTTGATTGTATGTGCCGAAGGCAGGTGAATTTAGAAGCTGTTCTTCTTACTATCTCTCCAGAAAATGGAATGATTATCACAATTGAGGATCAATAAATTCTAATTTAATACCACAGTACTTGGGGTCCTAACTATAATTAATTGTAATTGTAAAAATACATAATTGCCCCCTAACTATATCTTGGATAAATTATAAGGGAATTATTTTTTGTAAAAAATTGATGGAGTGTTGTTATTTTATGAATGGTAACTTGTTTACCATATTTATACACTTGATTCTATAAATGTAAATAACTTTATTCTAGACTTGTCATTATAGAAATTATTTTTTCGTTAAAATGTGATGGAGTGTTGTTATTTTGTAAATGATGATTTGTTTACCCGATTTATACACTTGTTCTGTCAATGTAAATAACTTTATTCAATACTTATCACTATGAGAATTATTTCTTGTTAAAATGGCATGGAGTATTGTTATTTTTCTAATAATGATTTGTTCGTTACATGAATATACTTTGTTCTATCAATAAAAATGGATTTATTATGAACTTATCACTATGAAAATTATTTCTTGTTAAGTTTTGTAAATGATGACTTGTTCACTACATAAATACGCTTAATTCTGTCAATAGAAATGATTTTAAACATTATGGGCAATTACATATTTCCATAATTACAATTAATTATAGTTAGGATTTTAGAGATAAAGACTGTAGTGTTAAATCAAAATTTATTGATCCTCAATTGTGAACATGTTTCTCCAAGAATACTTGGTCGTGATTTTTTTCATAATCATACACGATGCAGGAATTAGAACACCTCTTGTTGGCTTTCTTAATATCAGCTTGTTTTCTCGTTAACCTTTCCATATTCCTGGAGGGAAAAATTTTATGGATTCGCTTTCTTTTACTCTTTTTCGGGGAAATTGAGCTCGCTTGCCTTGATTGATCCAGGGTGATAGTGACTTGACAGCCTTTTTGAAATTGAAATCTTATCAACATTATGCAAGAACCAGCAGCCTACCTTCATTGACTTGTCTGTGAGGCCCTGATTAATTGTTTGTCTATCTGAAGCTGTCAAAGTGTGTGTGTCGGAAGAAATGCTATATAATTAAATTTAACAACAGGTGTAAACAAACATGGAATTACTGATAAACGGATATTTTTCTGATTCCCCCTTTAATTAATTTTTTTATTATATTTAGTTAATCATTTTTTTAAAAAAATTAACTAAATATATTTATCTGCAAGAATCGCCCGCACTACCGCTGCTTACAAATCACCCCCAGTGGAGGCGCTCCATGAAAAGCCCCTCTTCTTTCGGCATCTCTTATTTGTTCGTAATTTGCAAAACTGGGACCCATAAATAAATTCTAACGCGTTTTTCCAGTCTTCATTCCAAGTCAACAGTCAGTGCTAAGGTCATCAACAAGTTGGGAAACAATTAACAAAGAGCTTGGCTTTTTATTTGAGAATCAAGTCCCTGCTGGAGTTCTCAAGTGTTGTACCACCAAAAAAAGGAGTGGGGGAATTATGGCTTTGGTGGTTTCTGAGTTTCGTTTGCTGCTGCTCACTTCTCTCCCTTTGCTTCTCTCAGCTGGGTACGGAAATGATGATTGTCCTGCATCCTTTCATTGTGGAGAACTTGGGATCATCCAATTTCCTTTAACCAAGGCAGAAAGGCTGCACTGTGGCTTAATGCAGGTAAACGGCTGTGATGATCCTTATTCACCTAAATCCATTCAACTACCTACAGCTGCAGGAGCGGCACAGTTTCAGCTCGTCGGCTTCGATCCCCAGCAAAGCCTGATTACGGTTGTTGACACAGAAATAGCACAATCTGATGGGTGTAGTAGTAATAAAAACATCACAATTCCTACAAACTCATCTTTGATTTCTTTCTATGTCAAGAATAACATGACCACCCGACTTAGATGCAAGCCCGACTTCACACCCCCCACAAATTTCGATTACAATTTATTATGTGATGATAACTCCACGGTCTATTATGATATTGAGCCGGCGGAGCAAGAAAGATATTTCTCAGCATGTTCAAAAATTGTGCTTCCAACTCCAAGTAAAGGCGAGCCCGATGATTTGGGCTTATCTGATCGAATGGCTCCGGAGGTACGATTATCTGATGCTTGTGATAGGTCTCACCGCCTCCAAGGAGGAATGTGCGGATTTGACAGCCACAACAATTTCCACTGCTATGGAGGTATGTCCCTTGAAAATGATGATCAATCTCTTCATATTTTGTCGAGAGGGAGACACCATACATTTATGGGAGGACCTCCTAGTTTATGTGCATTGCCTCAAATAAAATTAAGGGTTAAAGACTATTATTTTCGTTATTAATATAAGATGAAATTAAAAAATTTCACATTTATTAAAAAATGTTAGGTATAATCTTTTTTTTTAACCAGCCATATTAAATATAATCTTAAAATCATAAAATAATTTATAATTTTTAAATTTTACTCTTCTTTATAATTAATGACTATAATAAATTATTGTTTAGGAATTTAAATAACATAAATAAACAAGGGGCAAAACTAAAAAAATATATTAATTACTCTAACTTTATTTTATATTTCATATCAAAAAACTTTTCAAACTTTATCTTTTATTAAAGACTGGAAGTTTTTTGTGGTGTAATGTCTAAGGAGGATTATTTTCTCTTTCCTTCCCCTCCTCTTCCTTCTATACCCATTGAGATTAATATTTTGAATGGTTTAGATTTAATAATTTTATAAAATATATATTTTTTATTTGTTATTACTTCAATCTTAAACTATTCAAATTAAATTTTGGTAATTCGAATTTGATTGTTTATTTTTTTCATTATCATTTAATATTTTAATGATAATTTTATAAGAAATGTCTAAATTTTAATCTAATGGTTAAAAAAGAAAAAGAATAGAATCTCCCATCAACATTTGAAGCTGTACAATTTTACCTTTACAATTAAATGAGTTAATTTTAATTGTTAATTGATTCAAAAAAATTTTAAAAAAGGAAAATAATCTCAAAAATTATATTAAAGTACCATATAAGTACATTAATATTAATTAAGTTTGTTAAATTACAAATAAATTCTAAGATACTAATGTTATTTTTCACCCATATAAAATATCAAAATATCATTTTGACCATCTACTTTAGCCAACTATCAAGTGATTATGAGATTATCATTGCAGGTATTAATGTTTGGAAAAATATACTTACAGGTCCTTACATTTTCATTCAATTTTGAACTAGGTCTCTATAGTTTATTTTGTTTTAATTAAGTCCTTATAGTCTCATTTATTATATATGTTAACTTTTAAAGGTTAAAATTAATTATTAATTATTAAATTTTACAAAATAAAAATACTCTTGGAGTTTGCAAAAAATTTAATTTAATACTTTAGCCAAAATAAAAAAGAAAATTTAATTTAATCCACTGTTTATATTTTTATTGCAATTTTTTTATGAAATTTCAAAAATTTAATTTAATCCACTGTTTATATTTTTATGGTAATTTTTTTATGAAAATTCAACATGCATAAAAAATATTTAGAAGACAATCTGATTATATAAATTTTGATTTATAAAAGTTATGTAATTAATTCTAAAGTTATACAATCATTTAATAAAAATATAAAAGTTCTTAATTTTCTTAAAAAAATGTAAAGATTTTAACTTTTAGGAATTAAAAAAATTTAACTGCTCAAATTATAAAGGTTCAATTAAAATAAAATAAGCTGTAGAGACATAATTTAAAATTATGTCAAATTATAAAGACTTGTAGTTATGTTTTTCTGTCAATGTTTTAGCGAGATATCATTAAAAATATATATTATTTTTTAATTAATTACCTTGTTGTCAACAATGATGATTTGATAATCATTCGGTAGCTATCAAAGCGTCAAAATTATATTTTTGTTTGCTTTATGGTAAAAAAAAGTATTTGTCTCTTGCTATTCATGGAGTCTCTCCGTTCAAAAATATAACATATTTTTTAAAAAATTAAATATTAAAAAATGTAAGGTATTTTTAGTCTTTTAAAATATAATCATTATTTTTTTTTAAAAGTACCCCTATTGATAATGACTTTATATTTATTATAGGATATTTAATAAGAGTCAATATAAAAAAATAGAGTTAGTTGAAAAGTAGGTAACTACTTTATTGAGAGGTGAGATTCGATTAAAAATGCCTTATATTTTTGAATGGAAGGAGTATAATTTAAAGACTTAATCAATATAATTTTTTTAAAAGATACTTATTTATAATTTTTTAAATTGTTTTATAATTTTTTAGTTTTTTCATAATTTTTTTAAGTCAATTAATAATTAAAATCAATCTTTTATTAAAAGGATGGGCAATATTACATCACAAAAATTGAAAATATTAGATGCTCATGTACAAATAATTGAAAGGAAAAAATATCCCATAATCCTGAAGTTAATTAAAAGCAGCTCTTGCCTTATCACTTACATTTGAGTTTGACATTTCATTTTGATTACAAATAAAAATTAATTTCTGAAAAAAGGTTACATTTATTTAATTATTTATTTTATCTACACCATCATCAATTTATCAACAGTTAACAATATGAATCAACTCACGACTCGTGGATTAGCTCGCAGCAGATTGCGAGCTTGATGGGACGGATTGACATAACTCATATCTTGTGCTGAATATATTTATATTAATTTGCAACAGGTTCCACCAATAGAAAATATTTTTTATATAGATACTTCAATAGACTCTCTACCCTCACATAAAATGGATGACTCTTTATATGGATAGACTATATAAAGAATGTTCCTTCGTGTAAAGAAATATAGGTTATAATCTATAGCAATAAATAATTAACAACTAACTCAACTCCGCAGTCAATATTTCCTTAGGCATCCCCTTAGTTAGTGGTCCTATATGTTAGTCACATTTCAAAAAAAAAAAATTGATCTTTTCTGTTAAGCTTTTTTTTTTTGTGACCTTTAATGTATAATTTTAAAAATGTTTTTCATCAAATTCCAAAAAATATGATATTTTAATTTAAAAAAAAAACTCTTCCCCATATCAAATACTAGTTATAGGTAATAAAAAGGACCCGAAAGAGTATTTAAAAAGTGTGCAATTTTTATTCGTGCATTTGAGTTTGGCAAAAAAAAATCAATTAAATAAAAATAATGCGTCACAATTTTTACCCATATGGTTTTATGTTAAATGATTTTTTTTCCTCACAAATCTTTATGATCCGGCATGTACATACATACCATGTCAATATTTTAAAAAAAAATTTAAAAATTGTTAGGGTGCACAATGCATAATGTCATATTTTTGGATAAAGAGGCAATGATACCTATTAAGTTGTCTACTAAGAGCATCCAGTAGCCTAATGGGTGAAAAAGGATAAGAATACCAATGAAGTATTTTGTGTATTTGTAACTTATGAATGATCATGAGTAACTAAATATTTTATTTTAGGATTATTTAGAACCCTTATATGGATTAATACTAAGTTCTTCCTCTCTTTTTGTAATTAATGATGTGTGTGTGTATTTTTTTTTTTACTCTTCTCGTAATGCTTCTAACTTTTTTGCCACCATTTAGATATTAGGTTTACTTAGATGATGCCTGAGAAGGCTAGCTTAGTGTAGAAGTTGGGTAAAATAGTGTATGAACTTGAAATTTGCATGTTGATCGAGTGGATAGTTTTGTTAGTAAGATATAGATATACTTGCTAGCTTTGCATAGTTATATTAGGGTTGGTACTTAAAATTGTGTTTTATTAATTGTAATAATAGATTGGACAATTAATTTAACTAAATGCTTATTCATGACTTGAGAGAGCTTGTTCATGTATTTTTAGAACTCTAGATTAGCACTTATTTTCATTAAAAACATTATGAGATGAGGTAATTTTGATGTTATAAGATATAAGAGGGATAAATAATCCCAAGTTTCATTTTGTCCTTGAAGTTTGAGAATTATTTGCTTTTCTTTATTTTCATATTTTAATCTTATTTTCAAAATCAATTTTATCCAACCAATTGTGTTTTGCTCAACTTGATCAAAATTGCAAAGTCTGTTGATTGACCATATTTTTAATACAAATCTCCATGAATATAATACTCTACTCACTTTATATTACTTGATATAACCCATGCACTTGCAGAGCGCAACAAAAATCTCATAATTTTATGTACATAAATTCACACCAAATATAAAAAGACATGTTATAGAAATACTAAAAGATTTGTTCATTTTTAAACTTTAAAATTCTAAATCTATATATTATTATTAACTTCAACTAACTTGTTGCTTGATCCTTTTAGAGCCCATTTGGATTTCAGTTATATATAATTGATTATAAAAATAACTAATTAATATGATTGATCTTGATTTTAATTGATTATGTTAAAACACAATCTGGTTGGATATTTTTTTTTAAAATTAATTTTAACAAAATTAAAAATGTTTGAATGATTTAATCAAAATTAATTTTAGCTGTGCAAAATTCTTTAGGCATTCACAACTTTCTCTCATTATTTTTCTTTACTTTTTTAAATTAAGGGATATTTTTATTATTTCATTAAAAACTTTAATAAAAATTAAATCTTTTGAAACTTAAAAGGCGTTATCACATTTTGGGAGATTCAAATTGTGATTTTCTTATTTCAAAAGGATTTATTTATTATTCTCCCAAAAAATAATTCATTATGTTCATATGAGGAGGTTTTAATATCTAATATATATCTGCACTAGGTGAGGTGCACTATTTTATTACTTTTTCTTGCGGTTTACTGTTTCTTTTCAGTTCTTCCCAAAATTGATGGACAAAAGCAGCTCGGAGAAACTTATTAAAAAAATCGATTCTAGCCCAGTTAATCAATTAAGTACAAAATGAGCTATTTGGATAGTTATCTTTAAAATCAATTATTTTGCCTAAAAAAATTGATTATTTCTCCAATCCAACCACACAGTTAATTGTTTGATATAAATCACTTTTTTCTATTTTTTTTAAAATAGTTACATCAATCAAATTTTTTAAAAAAATTGCTTTGAATTTCATCTTTGCCTCTCATAAATTTAATAAAGATGTCCTCATTGAAAATTGATGACAAGGAAGGAAATTTTTGAAATAATTAAAACAATTAAAATGAATTTATATTCAATAAGTGATTTAAATTCATTCAGTCAATGAATGTCTTGTATAACATATTA